AGAGATGTCAGTGACGACTTATCTATGGGCTGCTCTCTTCATGGTCTGTTTCACTGGTATAATGTATGAGGTGCTTCTGTTTGGTCCACTAAATTGTTTGATATAAATGTATTAAGCATGTAATGAATACTAATGAAAACAGATTATTGTCAGAATTCTCTGTACCATTTTATAAGTTCAGTAGTAAATCTTGAAACATGTTGTCAAACTTTTCTAGAAACAATTTTGACAATTTTTTGTGTGGGGTAAATACAGGGAAAATATGATTAAGATAAGAAAACAGTCACACAAAGATAGGGTATGGCATCATTGAAAATATGGTCCTGATTATTAAAACACACTTGACTTGTAGGACACTGAGTCCAGGGATTCCAGTTAAATAAAGTTGCATCATGGACATATGTGTTGCCTGATGAGGGGGATAGGGAGTTGGGAAAAACTCCCCTCTGAAAACAAAAATACTTATAAAGACTATAAGAGTCTGAGAGTCCAGACCCAAAAAAACTCCCTCAGCAACATCCCGGCTACATTGGCCTAATGGATGTATGGTAAGAAATTTACATATCTTGCAAACTCATAACTTTTTACTAATCAAATGCTTAAAAGTATTTTATTAAGTTACACTTTTTAGAACATTGAAAAGACAAAAATGGCATTTCCCTAATGGAGAACTTTATTTTATTATTAAAACTGACCACAAACGCTTAAATTTCATTGATATCATTTATTAGCCACTAACAATAACTTTGTCAGACTTATATGTATGTTAATAAGTTTCCTTTTAAAAGATGTGTTTCATAAAAGATTCTAGGAAAAAAAACCATCCTGAATCAATCATAAGCTACAAATAAAATAATTCATTGAGCAGAGATATAAATGAATTAATTGATTGGTGTAGTAAAAATTCAAATAATTATAAAAGTTTCAGATGAGACAATAGAGTTAGATAAGAACTGTATTAGAATTTAAGGCAGTCTTTTGCACTAGGTTGGTTAAACTTTGAAGTTTTTATTTTGGTATGCAATGTACTAAATTCAGTTGTTTTTTTTCCTTAAACAGTAAAATGCAGTAAGTTTATTTGAATTTTACTAAAATTGTTTAACAGAAGAGAGAGAAATGCTGAAATATAGAAATTTTGTGACTTATTCAACTTCAGAACATCAAGCCAGTTCTTTTTATATACATTAACAAAAGTTGTGTAAAATATTATGGAGCCATCCTAGGTGTTGACATCTTATCACAATCAAGACATACATAAATATACTGATTATAGGGTGTTTCTTTAAGTTAGCCAAGTAAATCAGATGTTAACCAAATTTGTATTTAAAAATAAACATACATCTCAGTATCAACAGTCCAATGGTCAGTTAGCGGTAAAGATTCTTTAACTGGATCTAAAAGTGACTCGTGTTAAAAATGGTTTAAACTCGTTTCATTTTAATTCAGATATGGGTGTTGTTTTTACGTTGATTTTCCAAATTATTTCTTTTTTGGTTATTTGAGTACGAAAAGGAAACATTTTTTTGTAGGTTTGTTCATTCAAAAATTTACTAAATTCCCAAATTTTTTTTTGAGCAATGAAAAAAAAAAGACTTATAAATCGACTCTTAATTCAAAAGATATGTATCTGCCAAGAAATAAAAAAAACAATGATAATAATAATAATAATGTCACAAGAGCATTCATGATAAACCAGCCTTGTTGGAATGATTTTGTGATTGTTACTATCCAGAATTTACAGCTTACCAAACAGAAGTTTTGTATTGTTCCATTTAATTGTTTTTAATGAGACAAAACTGTCATGAGAGCAAAAACAGAGACAAAGAAGTCTGTTGATAACTTGATTCATTTCTGGTTAGTAATCAACTGATAAGAAACAACAGTTAGAGACACTATTAAGATTTATATGAGAATGTTAACACTTCTTTCTCCAATTAAATTTCAAGTCAGAGTAAACAAAATAATGTTTGTTAAGATACATGCAGAAAACTTTATATACAAAATATTGTTTTCAAGGATTTTGTATTAAATTTATTATTTATAAATATAGAACTGACATAGGTAGATTGACGACCTCCTGACTAAGAATCTATGTTTCAGTTTAAACAATAGTAGGATTTATTTTAGTTTTAAAACTGAAAGCAGGAAACTACACCTTAGTTATAGTTCAGAAATAAGTATTTTAATTTATTGTTCAAGTACTATACAACAAAATGTCTTTATAATGTTGTAAGTGTTATTACTCCACATCCTAGAGAATAATGTTTCTTCCTGTTTCACTATAATCTACCTATCTCTCAGTATGTGTGTACCTTGACATGACAAAAATAGAATACTTCATAAACACTGTACATAATAGATAAATAAAAACATGATGTGGTGATTTGTGCATTTCCTGTTATTACTTATCAGCAGGTAGTGACACTCATCCTCAACACATTTCTTCCTTCTTTGGTACTTGGTAGGATACTGTTAATCTGGATGTATTTAACAGTACCTTTGTTTGCTTTTCATGGGATTATCTGTTCTTCAATCTTGCCACTAAATAATAAAGTAGGATGTACATGGGGGGAAAATAACTGTACTTAATTTATTTTTGGACTTAAAAGTTAATATGTGAAATTTACTTAAAATTTCACTATTTTTTGGAAAAAAAATGATAGGTTTGTAAAGATTTTTCCACCATGGTTTTTGATTAATCACTGTTTTAAAGGAGCCACTTTCATGTCAATAAAAACTCATATAAATGCAAGACATTTATACATGCATCAATATAATAGTCCCAAAATCTGTCAAAATAATTATGAAATTGATTTTAAAAATATATCACAATAAAAATAAATTGTTGATGTGGTTGAATGTGATGATAAAAGTTTATTTTAAATGATCTGCTAGATTTCATTCTTGTTTGGGATTGTTAACCTCAAAATTAACATGAACATGAATTTAATATCAACCAGACTCAGTCCTGACAGAATACTAAAAATCTTTACAAATTTGATAATAAAATGTGTATTTAATAACACATCTTTTTGTAAATAAACATTTTTGTAATGATGTTGAATAATCAATGACTGCAGGTATGTTTGACTAGCATGGAAGGGTTTGCAAGAAACATTAGCTGTGTATTGATTATAGGATCAATAATGGAAATGATGAGAAGAGATTGGTTGTCAATAGGAAAGCAATGGGGAGGGTAGATTTATCCTGGGTAGAAATGACAGGTAACAAACTCCACCTTCAAATACATTAACAAGTGAGCAGAAGGAAAATTGAAGAAAACCTATTCTCATTTTTGTTTGAAATTTCAAATTTTCATGAAATTAAACCATTTTATACCACATTTTGAAAAACAAATCCTTAATGTTTTGGTACATCTCTACTAAGTGTGGCATGTCTTTTCTTTAAATGGAAAAAAAAAAATTAAAGTAAAATGGGACTTAATATATAAATTAACATCTTCCCAGATTTCAATGAGCTGGACAAACAAGTTGTTTTGATGATAAGTATCAAAAGATCCCTTTCTATAAGTATTTTATTTGGAAATCTTAGAAACTAATAATTTATAGTAACTTAGCTATAGGAATATTTTGTACTCATGCTTATCCCAATAAAGTTTACCTGAATCCCTTAATTGAACCCCATTTTAAACCTGTGGTTGATGCATATAACAGCTGAAATAAGCACTGAACCTGGGAGGTTGGCAGAGAAGCCAATACTTATTTCTGATTGGCTACCCACTAGAGGTGATTAAATTGAAAGGCTTACACCTGGAAGATCCTTTATGCAAACATTTGTATGATTATTAAGGTAGTAAAAATTGGTTTTTAAGGTAAAAGGTGTTTAACCTTCATCAGGTGAACTTCTATCTAATTTAGTATAGATGTGGTATTGAAAATGTTGAAGGAATTTTGTACAGGAATATTTCAACTTGGTAAGTTTATGTTGTCTAAGTGGGTCACAAGAAGTTTGGGTAACTTGATATTTGATATTCTGAGACAAAGTGGCTACTGTTTGAGAATGTGGAAATATTTAATAGATTTATACAAAACCAAAGTTTGTTAAAATTACAATCTTTATAGGTTATTTATGATTGCCAACAAGGTTTATATTTTAAATGTTTAATAAAAAATTATTACTGATTTAATAAAAAGATGCATGATTCTTATTCTGAGAAAAATACCAAAAGGTTGAATTTTTAAAATCATGCTTATTGTTGTTAGTTTGTATGCTATTTAGAATACACAACATTGAGATTTCTAAACATGATGTTTTGTCCCATTACCTTAGATAATTATTTCCACATGTAGCATTCACAATCATGTACTTATATATTATTAGTTACTATCTAAAGGTAATTTAATGGTTTTCTGCTGAATTTCTATATCCAATTTTCTGCCAGCTAGCATGTACCATATAATTACAAAGAAATGGTAAATACAGCTTCTATACATGCACCATTTGTTTCTGTTGGAAACCAACACCCTTATTAAAGGATAATTTTATATAATACAGACAATTACCTCTCATATTTGTCATTAATTAAGTTATTAATTATACAAATTAAGCATGTTATAACAGAGGTGGTCTGATTCATAATGAATCATGTAAGAGTTTTTGAATGTTTTACTGGTGCAAGGTAAACTGTTTTATAATAACTTTATAACCTCTCTTTATCATCATTACAAAGGTTTCAGGAACCATTGGACAAAAGACTTTCTTAAATAGTTTAAAATTTCTGTTACATTGATGCATCTAGAATGTACAGTGTAAATACGTCCATTTTTTTAAATAGAATGGTCCCAATTTTCAAGTTACTGTAGATTCAGGACATCTTTATTTGATAAATGATGAAGAACTTTCTCATAATTTTATTTTCATAAAGTTTGTAATACTTGAACTCGATAACAGTACTTTTTTTAACAAGTTTTTCCCTAGTAAATTTGAGATAACTATGTCAATTATATGGCTCATACTATATGATATTAATTACCTTTCAGTTGAAACTGAGGGTGTGGAACCAGCAACCAAAGTACAGAAAACAGATGCAGAAAAATCAGATGTCCATGACAGTAGTAGCCATGACAACATGATTCATGACACCACAACAGATAACCATGACAACACAGAACCACAGAAAAATGGTTAGTTTTTGACTATATAATTTCTCCTTTTTTTGGAAATTCAAGGAGATATGGAAAGTGTCAAACAGACAGTAACCAAACAACCTAAAAGATTCCCTAATTAGATGATATTTTCTGAAATGATGTAAAATAATAAAAATAAAATAAATATGCACTGATAAATACTCTATTATTGACAAAATTATATTGCTCTTTGGCATGGTGATGAGAAAGAATATTATAAGGTCATTTTAACTTATTTTTGGGAGGCTGAAAATGATGTTGATTCACATTACATCCAGTATGTGCCAGTTTCGATAATACACATATATTTGTTGTCTCAGAGATCCCATATAACCTCCTTGGTTGTCTTAAAGATTTTGGGTCCTCAATGCTCTTCAACTTCGTACTTTATTTGGGCTTTTTAACTTTTTTGAATTGAGCACTTCAGAGTCTTTTGTAGACAAAACACACTTGTCTGGCATACAAAACTTTAATCCTGGTATCAACAAAATTATTTATTTTGTAAAAATTATTTCCGTACTCCATGTATACCTTACAACAAAATTATTTTTATTTACATTGTTTCATAGATGAAAATTTTTCGTTCAATGTATGTTCACTTGTTTTTGTTAATATGTCTTTTGATTGAGTTAATCCATTTCAATTGATATTTTATAGTGTGTCTTTCTATGTTGTGATATTACACTAACGTTGGTATTGTTTCAGGTAGGGTAAATGTTGGCGCCTATTAAAATGTTTAAACCCGCTGCATTTGTTTGCATCTGTCCTAAGTCAGGAACCTGATGTCCGGTGGTTGTTGTTTGTTGATGTGGTTCATAAGTGTTTCTCGTTTTTATATAGGTTAGACCGTTGGTTTTCCTGTTTGAATGGTTTTACACTAGTCATTTTTGGGGCCCTTTATAGCTTGCTGTTCGGTGTGAGCCAAGGCTCCGTGTTGAAGGCCATACTTTGACCTATAATGGTTTACTTTTACAAATTGTGACTTAGATGGAGAGTTGTCTCATTGGCACTCATACCATATCTTCTTATATCTATCTGTGATGAGTTTATATACTTAGTATAAAACATGAAAAATATTGTATGCTATTACATGTACTAAGGGGGCATTTAAGGTAAAATAGCAGATTTTATAGTAGTAACTAAAATAAAACTGATAGCAATATCAGCTTGTCAAATATACTTAGAGTTAAAGACATTAATGATTATTTTGATCACACTTTGATGCTGTATTTTCATAGTATTACCTGAAGTACCCACATTTACAACCTATATTAATCACTTTGTACTATTATATGTATTGTAATGAACTGTTTCTGGTTTTATTTCAAATTCTTTCAATTTAAAGAAAGAAAACAAAAATATTATACAAAGCGAATATAAAAAAATGTATAGCAGTAATGTTGAATATTTGGCTTTCTATTTCAGTTGTTTTTACTTAATTTATTTATGATCAGGTGTTTGAAAAAAATATAATTTACTAAAGTATTTCCTTAGTGTTGTTTAATACACAAATACACAATATGATATCTCTTTTTCAATTAAACATGAAATATCTCTGTCCCCAATGCTTAAGTCTATGATAGCATACAGTTTTTTTACCAGTTGTAATTTTAAGTTGTATTAAGTGTAAGCATAACTGTGTACCCTTTAACCATGCTTGGTGGCTTTTCATATCATAGTGTTTGGACGGAAAGGAAAATAATTTTAAAGTACCATCATATAACATGTAGCAGTAAATGGGGTACAAATTTTAGCTATGTAAAGTTATTCATTGAAATTTGATAAGACCAAAACTGCCAATATTATGTACAGAGCCATATCTGTGTATTTATAAATATATTTGAAAAATTGAACATTAAGAAATGAACAAATTATACTTTTACTTTTAACTTTCCAAACATTGAAATTTTACACCCTCCAATAACAAACTGCTCTTCAGCTCAATATGTGATAGTTTAACTTCTTATCTCTGCATGTATATCACATTCAACATACCTAAACTCATATCTATGTGTAGTTCCAACAGTTTATACTTTTCTTAGAATTAAAGGAAAAGAAAGATTATTGTGTATTAGTTCATGACATACAACTTTAACCAGCACTTGACAAAACTAAAAACAAAGGAGCATTGCTTTTATTGCTGATCTTCATTCGTTTGTATAGTTTATGAACAATAAAATATGTTTAAACTAAGAGTTATAGCAGACGTCTTAGTTTGATGCTGACCATCTCACTCCTTGTTAGTCCAAGTTCTTTACAGAATGTTGTTTATTTCAGTAACTACAGAAGTTGTTTCGACACCAGAAGTAAAATCCCCTTCTAAAGAAGACATCACTCCACCAGTATCCACAAAAAGTGACATTCCAACCATAATGGCTGACAAGAAATGTACAGATGATGAGAAGTTACGAGAATACCTTAGTCAGACAAATACCGTAGTGATCTACCCAGAACCAGTCAGTGAAGGGGAAGATGGTGACAATGATGATGATGATGAAGACAAAGCCAACACATCACAAGAACTTGGTAAGTAAATTTAAACTTCAACAGAAGATCAAAGAGATTTGGGGTATACATCAGTGAGACAGTAACCCAACTTGACAATAAATCTAGATAGAAACATTGAAGTCAACATACATGACATATATGGTTTTTAGTGATATACAAATGATCCTATCTAATGCCAATTTCTGTATTGGCCAAAGTTTGCACAATTTGTGAATAATTTAAACTAGAGACTACTAATGGTTCCCCATGACCACAAATTCTTTTAAGAAACCACAGACAATCACTGTCAATGCTCTTGACTTGTGGAAAGGCTCATTAATAAGAGGTGTCTGAAATGGTTTTGGAAAAGTCCGGTAAATTGCTGAAGTGATTTTTATATTATTTGTTCCAGTTATTACCATGAGTTATCTATGATTAATTCATTTTCAACCATTTGTTTAAATAATTCTCCTGACTGTTGAGTACTCAGTTGTCCCATTGATCAGTTGGATGATAAAGGTGGATAGAAGATAGTACAATAGAAAACAGACCACTTTACCTTATGATATCAGTATTACAGACTGTGAAACAATCAAATATTTATCCCTATAGATACAGGAACAGATAAATTAGAAACAAACTTCTGCGACTCTTTTCACAAAAATTCTTACGATTACAATTGATCGTAAGTTGTACTGAAATGTGTATGACTTACGAGTATTTTTACTCTTAAGATTTTTTGTGAAAAGAGCCGGTGACTCTTACATTTCATTGATATCAAACAAACCACTCAAATAACCAAAAGTCATCATTCAATTTGGTTGGTAAACTTATGGAATCTTTCTGAATAAAAACAGAGTTGATAAGGGGTTGAAAGCAGCCAAAGAAGGTCCTAATACTAATTAAATTGATTTGATTTGATTTTTGGTGTTTTAACGCCACTTTTAAGCACCGCTTTTGGGCTATTTCGTGGCAGTCAGTTTTTATTGGTGGAGGAAGCCGGAGTGCCCGGAGAAAACCACGACCATTCGATAGGAAAACTGACAATCCTAGTCAATTAAGATTGCAGTCGAGTGCACCCACACGAGCGGGATTCGAACTCACAACCTCAGTGTTGACTGGCTAGTGATTACAGTAGTAACTACTTAGACCACTCTGCCACCGAGGCCCCAAATACTAATTAAAAGAAAGAATGGAAGAAGTATACGTCAATGATATCTTGTATAAATTGTTATAGACTTTATTATAAAAAGAGGCATAGGATACCAAAGGAACAATAAAAACTCATAAGGCAAAGAGAAAAATGACAATACCATGGCCAAAAAGACTAAACACTACATAGATAAAGAAGCATTGAGCAACCGGAATCTACCAAAAAAAAAAAAAAAAAGTATGATTTTAAAACACAGCATTAAGATTATTTCAACGTAACAAACTGATATAAGTAATGGTCATTATAGATATATTTAGCAAAGAGATGGTTGGTTAGTTATTAGGGTTCTTTGGAGCCTCTTAATTTCATATCTGTTGTGTATTGGACTTGTTTAAATAATAATTGGGTTTTTCATTATTCATGTGTTTTATTTTATTTTTCTTCAGAAAACTGCTTCAGCATAGATGAAGATATTGTCCTGAATTGTGCCCATTGTGATTTGACATTCAGCAGATTCAACATTCTAAGAGACCACATGAGGGAGGTTCATCCAGATCTACCCATTAAGTACCTCTGTCCAAAGTGTGATGAAGCATTCCTACTAAAGTCTCATCTTGATAAACACCTAGCCATGCATTCCCCAACATCACAATCCTGTAACATCTGCAACAAGACTTTTGCCAATGTATATCGTCTTCAACGTCACATGATTAGCCATGACCAGAGTACCGATCTGCGTAAGTTTAAGTGTCCAGAGTGTGGGAAAGCCTTCAAGTTTAAACATCACCTAAAGGAGCATATCCGTATTCACAGTGGGGAAAAGCCATTCCAGTGTCCAAATTGTTCCAAGAGGTTCAGCCATTCCGGGTCCTACAGCAGCCACATGACGTCCAAAAAGTGTTGGGTAATGAATCAGAACAGAGCTTGTCCACCAACTGTTGAGTCAACCAGTTCTACCATTAGACCAGGGATCAGCACCACTATGCACTCTTATCCACATCCAATGATGCATTTTGAGCAAATGAAGCCAGGTATTCCTGCCTACTACTCGCCAGCTGGAGCCAGATTTCTGCCAATGTACCACCATGCCATCAGACCTGTCATGACATCACTGCTTCCTCATACATTATCCATTCAACATTCCACACCACATCCATCCAGTATGGTAATGGCCACCAAGCAGATCTCTCCAGATGTCAATTCCAACACTAAAGTTGTCACTATAGATGCTAATGTCACTAAAGAAGAACCAGTCTTTGATAAGAAGGAAACCAGTTCAATACTAACATCAGGACCACAAACAACTGTAGAAACTTACAAGTGTAAATTTTGCTGTGAGATATTTGCCAGTGCAGTTGACTGTCACCAACATGAGAGGTACATCTGTAAGAAAGATGAGCATAACACCAGTAGTAATGCCAGTAGTGATGAAAGTAAGACCAACCAGTCAACATCATCAGAAGTTATTACCAGTGATGAAAAGTCATCAGAGACATTGTCCTGCAGATTTTGTGATGAAGTCTTCAACAGTCCAGTAAGCCTCCATCAACATGAACGCTACATTTGTAAACTCAACAAAGACCTTCATCGAATGAGTGATGGTAGTCCACGTAACTCTCCAAGTAGCAGTATGTCTGACCATAGTCACATTCTCTCCATAGCAAGCGCCAGTCCAGAGACTGAATCAGAAGATCAAGATGACAAAGATGACAATGCCTTGAATGACAGCAAGAAGTTTCGTATGAGGTCCCTGATCAGTGACGAGCAGTTACATGTCTTGAAGTCCTTCTACAGCATCAACCCACGTCCTCGCAAGTATGAACTGATTCGCATTGGTAATGAAATTGGTTTCCCCAAGAGAGTGGTTCAAGTTTGGTTCCAGAACATGAGAGCTAGAGATCGCAGACGTGGGAAAGAGGTTCCATACTTTCCATCCATGGCCAGGTTTAAGCGTGACAGTCCTTCTCACTCCATCAGTGATTCTAGATCATCTACTCCCGCAATCCTTCCTGTAGCAGCTCATGGAGGCAGCAAGAAGATCAGCAATACAGCTACTACAATTGAACAACCATTAGACCTGAGTACCAGGCCAGCACCAGCTCACAGTAACAGAAGTAGTCCAGCATCTTGTATTACTCCACCTACCAGTAGTCATGAAGTCCTTAATCTTAGTGTCAAACCAGAAGTCCAGCCTAGCATTTCATCAAAACCTGATATGGAATATGCCAAGAAACTCTTAAGTGACAGTCTGAAAGACAGTATGTTCATGAAGACACCAACACACAAGTATCCAATGGATGGGAAGCTACAAAGCAGTGCAATCTACAAGTACATGCAACAAGAAGGTCTGTTTCCTGGTTACTTCGTGGGAAACCCAACCATCACAACAACACCAAGTATGATCCAGCAAGCTCCAGTACACACCAGGATTATCCCAACCTGTGAGCCAGCCATCATCACTTCCAGTCATCCAATGTACCACCACCATCACTACAGCCGACCAGACACCAACAACATTACCATCTCACTTCAGCAGAAGGTCCACCTTGCCATCAACAAAATCCACCAGGCCCGTAACACTCCAAAGCATGACGATGATGATAGCCAAAGTGACAGCAGCTCTAGTAGTGATAGTTACCACGACAGATCTCAGTATAATGGTGTCCACTTTGATGCTGCCATGGAACATGCCACCCACAACCTAGCCACCCTTGCTGAAGTTAGCCTAGCAGACCGAGCCAACCTTACTGTCGACAGCGAGATCAAGCTGAAGCGTATGAGGAAGAAGTCATGGAGACAGGTAGAGAGAGACTATGTCTGTATCCCGTATTTTTAACCTTTTTACCTGTAGTTAGAAAATGCATGGCAAACATTACCTTCACATTACCTACGGCTGTGTGTCTCAAATATTTAAGTGCATGCTATCAGAATCTGACCACATTGTGTTAACATCATTTCATCATCAATAAGTTCATCTTGTCAATTTCATATTTTACTAATTGTGTATCATTGCATAGAAAGTTTGGCATGAGTGATTTGGAATCAGTGTTAATTGTTAGTACTTGTTTTATACTAACATTATTCAGGAAATTTATGAAAAACTTAAGAAGGAGTTCAAAAATTATTTAGATGTACTCCATTTTGAAAGGGCAGTATTTATTTTCTAATGAATGATAGATTATGTAATGTAAATAATGGTAGAAAAATTTTTGGGTGAAATTTGAACATTTTGAAACTTTTTTAGATTTGAAATCAATAGTTACTTTATAAAATGAGAGAATAAAGAAAGAAGGAAGAACATTGTTTTATTTAGATATTTTTTCTAAGTTTGATGAAGTTGATGTGATACATATGTTAGATTTTGACAGTATGGCAAAAAATAGATGTATGCCATTGGTATTTGTTGGATAATATTGCCATGCGTTTTACAAAAAAAGAAAATGGGAACTTCTTTCAAATATTTGTATGTTTTTACAAGAAAGTGGATAATCAAAAATTCTTTTCTGATGTTTTGAAAGATTGCTGTTAGAAAATATCTATCATAACAGAAAAACTAGAATTAAAAAAATAGCTTTGTTGGAAAAATAGAATTTATCATAATATTTTCCCATTTTCCCATTTTAGTGCATTTCAATTAATCATATGTATATATTCTGATATAAAAACTTAATTTGGTGAAAAATTAAGATTATAAATTCAGAAAGAATGTGTGGGATCTGTTTAATATCTTAAATGGTATATATACATTTTAAATATTGAAAGAAATGCACTATTTTTTAAATTTAAGTATTGAAGATTTTTAATGCTCATGAAATATTGATTGACATATAATGCATGGAATTCTGTTACTTTGTTAATTTTTAAGAGTGTTAAATTTTTATTGCTGACCATGTTTAAAAGCATTTATATTTTGTTCTCGTTATCAAACAAGCATTTGAAAGAAAGACTATAAAAAGAAGAGTTATTTTATAACAAATGAAGTGAATTGCTTTCCTTAAATGAAAATCACAATCTAAAAGAAAGTGATAACATATTGCGTGGATAAAAAACTGTCAGAGATCAACTTTGAGGAACATTCCTAATCCTAGGTTTTACACACATGATATATGAATGAACGGATGAATGAAGTGCATCCTGAATATATATATACAATACAATATACATTTTGTTTTATTATTATGATTCAGCCACCAAAATAGGCTCATAGTGCACTACCTTGTTTTAGCTTTACATTTATGATATGAATGATGACATTTTAAATAGTATCAGTGAATTTATCTCAAATCGTAAGGTATACATTTGTACAGTTTTTTCTATATCAGCATTAAGTTCTAATTTGAATTTACATAGTTAATTGACCATTCTCTTTGGTTTTACAGTTGGAATCTGAAGAGATTCAGTTAGACCTTGATGATGCCATGTTAGATGAAGACCATCCATACCGTAAGAAACGTCGTTCCTGGAAGAACCACCGTATGGAAGCTGATGATGGGTTGTATGGCTGTGACCAATGTAAGAAGATGTTTAGCAAGCAGAGTTCATTGGCCCGTCATAAATATGAGCATTCAGGTAAGACATATATTAGAAATGATGGTTCTACTAACTAGATGTATATAAAAATAAGAGGATATGGTATGATTGCCAATGAGACAACTATCAATCAGAGTTAAAATGAAATGGTAGTAAGCAATTAGAGGCCAGTATTGGGTCTTCAACAATGAGAAAAACCCATACCGTATAGTCAGCTATAAAGGCCCTGACATGAAAAATGTGAATCAATTGATCCACACCACATATAAAGAATTAGGAACATATAAGCTCATGTTTAGGATTTACAAGTAATCAAAAGATGGTCATTTAAAAAATATAAGTATTGGAGAAGGAAGACTTTTTAAAAATGGATTTTATTTACATTTTGATACACAGTCAAGAATAAGATGGCAAGGACATTTTGGGATACTGCCAATGAGACAGCCTCTCACAACAGATGATTTGAGTGAACATCTAACAATCACACTGTGTAGTCCCTAACACTAAAAAATGCACAAAATAAAGGAGACAAATGAACAGATGACTTGGTTTGAAGCTATGAATTAAAACGGAAGATGAAGCCAGATCTACTGATTTGATTGTACTATTTAACTTTGGTTCGGAATATTAATTTTCATTGTAAAGAATCAGTATTTAAATTCTTTGTCTGGTTGAAAAAAAAGGATGTGATGTAAACATCAGTAAGACAACAACAAAATAAACCCACAATAGACAAAAGTGATTGTTTGACTCACCATTGTTGTTTTATTTGTAGGTGCCAGACCATTCAACTGTGAGATCTGCCATAAAGCATTCAAACACAAGCACCACCTTACTGAGCACCGGCGTCTACATAGCGGTGAGAAACCTTTCCAGTGTAAGAAATGTGGCAAGCGCTTCAGTCATTCTGGTTCATACAGTCAACACATGAACCATCGATACAAGTACTGTAAACCAACACGGGAGGAATTTAATTGTAGCATTTAGTTGTCATAGTGAGAATAGTCCAATATTGACAAGTGCAATAATTTTTAATATGAACAATATTTTGTGCATTAGCTAATCTATTCATAAGTTAGTGGGTTAATATCCAAAACTTAAGAAAGGAATAGACATTCATGTCTGCCATGAATTCAGAATATTTCTGTTGTTATTATACTATTAGTGCTTATTGTTAAGAATAGATGTTTAATGATTTAAAATGGCAGACATATTTATAGTCCAGTTTTACAATATAATACTGGAAGGTGTTCATGTCACTGAAGGACACGCGTCTTCTCAGGAAGACATTAAGTTGTTGACATAATTTCACTTGTTAATGAACTCAATGATAATTGTTAATGATTCCATTCCAAGCTCCTTCACCATGTCTCAACAGTTTTTAATCAAAGGGAGATAATATTGTTATTTTTAAAATTTGAAAAGTGTGTATATTTTTGCTGAAGTAAGTTGTAAATATTCGTTTTTCTTCCAAGAAACCATGACATCATTTCATGTTAAAACTATGGGACCATTTTCATAAACACATTAAGGAAGAAATGTACATTTTTGCATGAATTTGTTGGCACAGCAACTTTGTTGCACACCCAATCAGTATACCTGAGAATTAATACTCAATAAATTGTTAGAATGGCAAATTTAATATGCTTTTGATGTATGTTACATTACAAATATTTACTTGAAGGTAGATTTGCATGTTTTTGAGAATTGTATTATCTGTAGTAAAGTGTGAAGTTTATTTAGTGCTTACAATCCTAATGCTATGTTATTTATTAGTTACTTAACCAAAGAAATATTGTAGTATAACCAATAACTAAATTATTTCTATTTATAATGCATGCATAATATTAAACTGTATTTATTTGTGCCAAACATAAAAAGAATGAAGTTAAGAATCAAATTGTCTGCCCAACCTCTCTACAAATAATAAGAATATGAAGTTAAGAATCAAATTGTCTGCCCAACCTCTCTACAAATAATAAGAATATGAAGTTAAGAATCAAATTGTCTGCCCAACCTCTCTACAAATAATGAGAATAAACAGTATTAAAGTCTTATGGTGCCAAATAAGTTTTTATGTTCATTAAAGTATCATATTTGTATTAAAAATCTTTAGATTTACTTCATAATAGGTTTGTAAAAACCTTCTTATTAGGACAAGACTACAAGTTCTGTGCCAAATACAGTTGACCACAATAAAACCATTTTGTTTACTTTTTTAATCCAATTTCTTGTTAACTAAATACTCAGTTATAACAAACATTTTTTCAGTATTCAATTGTTAAATATATTGTGCCAAATATAGTAAATTCTCAAATTATAGATTAGAAGCTTTACTTGAAAAATCTCATACCAGATGTATATCTATGTATCATGGATTTTTTTATACATAACACTGCCAATGAATTGTAAATTTTTGTTATGGATGTAGGTTTTGTTGAACAAGGAAATACTGTTAACTGTTGTATAAATCAAATTAACTTTTTTACAGCTGAAAAAGTCCCAGAGTGAGAAAATGCAGAAATACATCTTTTCTATTCAGCATTTCAATATTCAAGAAAAAGTTTCATTGAAAAAATTGCAAATTTATTATGTAAAAATCAGTTATATAAAGTTATACAGTCATATTTTTGACAGCCTATGTCAAATAATGTTTTAAATATGAAAGGATGTATTTCTGACCTGTTAATGACTGGTGAGAGTTTACAAATCAGTTGTGATGGGACTTTTTTACTGTTTGATGATTCCTCTTGTGCCAAAATCTTGTCAGGGCAAATCCCAGATAAGCTATGGTGAATTCTGGTGTGCCAAAACCTGTCCTGTCCTGTCCTGTCTTTGTCTTTGTTGTTTGTTTCAGGTTTATTTCCGTTATTAGATTGTGAGTTGACTAAGTTGTTAATGGAAGTTTAAGTTGACCTGATAACCTATGATGTGAAAGTTGTATGGTGTGTATATGCAGTAAATAAGTTTTAGCTTTGGTTTGATAGACTTGGTTTGATTTGTTATTAAGCTTTGGTTTCATAGACTTGGTTTGATTTGTTATTAAGCTTTGGTTTGATAGACTTAATTTAATTTGTTAATAATTTAGTTCTTGTCTTGGTGCTTGTTCATCTAGTCAAAACTGGCAGAGCAAAGGTCAAAATGTGCAATCTGTGTTGTAAATTATTGTTTATATATATATATATACATATATTTGTGTGTTCCTTAATGTATAATTGTGTGTGTATGTGTGTGTGTTATGGGATAAATTCAGTGTATTAATGGTGAATGTGTGAAATGTATGACCTTATGTGAAAAAGGATGAGTGCTTTAAGTTTTCCATGGCTACTTTTTGGTTACCATGGTAACTTGACATCTAACCTAGATCAGTATTATAATTCATTGTCTTCCTGTTTTGTTATTGTTGTTAGTTGTCCCTGTCTGCCAAACTTTTTTAAGCCATCACAGAATTCCAAGTTTGTTATGTTTGACATTCACAATGTGTTCCAATCTTACTGAACCAAACAGTCTCTGAACTGTTTTAAAATGTGCCAAGGTTCCATGTATTATTCAGCATTTGTGCCAACAATTGGTTATTAAACAGTATTATTTTTTTTTTTTTTTTTTTAAATCATCCTTCGATCTTGTCTTATATATATTTAAATACTCATTCCATGTTCGTATGATGATTTGGCTAAATCAAACTTTAATTTTTAATTTAAATCTTAGGAAAGATGTCATAAGATTACACAAGTTTTTAGGCATGAATTGCATTTCCTGGTGCCAATTTTATTGATGCAGTATTATTTCCATGATTTTCTGTTTATATTGTCTGTCTAGTGCCAATTTCAAAATATATTTGTGTAAATATCCACCAAGTATTAGATATTTTGATGACCAGTATTCTTCCAATGATATGTTCTTTATTTTGTGCCAAGTTTCTGCTACTTTTCAGTATTTGCCGCCATCTCAGTATTGCCACAATGATATTATTATAAATGTGTGTGTGTTGTTCTATTTGTTGTACATTTTGTAACTTCTTGTCACATATTAGAAGCATTTATAGTAGCTTTCGGACATTTCCTTGTTCAACTAAGCCTATCTCATATTGTAATATGTTTAAATTGTAAACAGTACAGTTATCTTGTGAGGGAGTTGAAAGGGCAATAACCCTTTGCAGGGAGGATGACAAATCTCTGTTGTAGGAAAGGGAGCTAACTCTCTGCAAGGAGGATGAACAATCTCTAGTCAATTGTAAATAAAAGTCTCCTTAATGTAGCCATTTGTTTGTGTCTGCTTTAAATGTTTATACATACTCAAATATTATACATAAATCAGTCTAATTTCACCAAATCTTGTTATTCACAAATTTTATTCCAGAATCGCATAATTAGCTCATCATTTTGTTATTATTACTGTTATTTAAGTTGTAACCTTCATCTGTTTTCATATTAAATAAAATCATTTTTTTTTTATTTATAACCATAGAACAAAGTCTTTGTTTTAGTCCCACCATACATTTTATCTGCTGAAAAGACATTCCAGAATGTCCTTGTTGTATCTATAGCTGTTTTACTAGTCCCAGATTAAATTGTACAAATGTTTTTTTATGTAATAAGCTGTGCTGTATCTTGCCATGTATAGAATTTGACAGCTGTGTAATTTATTTGTTGTTCCTGCAGAAGTTTTTAGTACATTTTTTTATTTACAGAAATGAAAGTTTTGAAATTAGTTTTAAAGTAATGAGGAAAAGTATGTTGTATTATTTTGCATTAATTTCTTATTCTATGGAAATTTCATGCTAACATTATATTTGCAACAGATCTCACAAGTCTTGGGGAAAATGCAATAACATAAGTTTCTTTCTAGTCCCATAAAACAAGTTTTCAATGCTACATTAAGGGAGTTCCTTTTTATTGCTTTTAATTTGTTTTAATTGATTTATCAAATAACTTTTATTTTACTTAATATTTTATGGATTTTTATTGTATAAGGACTCGAGGAGAAATATACCAGATAATTATCGCCATTTGTAACATCTTTTTTATTTTTTTTTTAGCTTAATTCTTCAAAATTTCTCGACAATAATTCTTCAGATTTTAAAAATTGATATAAAAAAGTAATGAGTCTTATGTAGGAATTGACTTCAGGCTAATGTTGGAAATATTAATTTTTAAGGAAAATGCTTTACACTGAATTATATAGTTTGAAGTCAATTCATGTAGGAAAATATAACTTTGATATAGATATGATTTGTGAAATAAATTAAATTATTGTCACTTTTTTGTGACTTAAGTGAAGAAGCATAATACCTGTACAAAAATCATATGTAATATGTGTAGAATTCTTTATGTAGTGTTTCTTGCTCAAATGTCTCTTCGATTGTATAGATATGTTTAAATTGTAACAATCAAAATAGTAATAATTTGTTAAGTTGCTATTATGTAAAACTTGATATAATGGTACTTTTCATAATAATTAGAGTAGAGTTAAAAGTATAGAGTATCACAAGTATTGTGAATTTAAATGGAAAAAGTTTCTCCTGAAATGTAAACTGAATTATTTCACAAATGAATTATTATTCAAAATTTACTTCTTTGAAAAGAATAGTCTTTTTCCCATAAATCTTTTAAAAAATCTTATCCGTATGTCCTGTAGATTTTCCTACAATATTTGATTTATATATTATTCAAACAGTTACTTTACTTTAATACATATTACTTTTTATCGAAAATTTCTTAATTCAAAATAATGAACTGTTTTAAATAGATTTTTTTACTGTTGTTATTTATAGCAGGAAACCACTACTTTTTCACCGGACAGGAATTCAGATTTTAGAATATGGGTTTTCAGAAACGGTCAATGCTGACAGAGATTTGTGTATTTTTCTTCTAATGTATTGTTAAAAAAAATATATTTTAAAATATTCAAACAAAAATAAAATGTATAAGTGTATTATATTCTAACTGGTTTCAGTATTCTTTACAGCTGTATGAAAAATTCTTTTCCTCTAGCAGATAGTTGAAATTTGATTGTTTAAAATCTTTAAACTTTAAGAAGTCCAGTTAATACAATATAGATAATACAAATGTAACTACCTGTTTAATGAAAACATTCTTTTTAATAAAAAAATGATGTAAACTTGTTTGTTACTGTTGTTTTCTATCTAGTCCAGACAAGGAGATGTACTCTGTATTGTAGCCTATCATCATCATGGAGTCAACAAAATTACAAGAATGTTTACCACATATTTTGTTGTGGTTTATGACTGAATGGACATAGGAGTGAGGTGTTCGGAAGCCTCCCCTCTAACAAAACATAAGAGGGTTATCTGTTTCATTTGTGTTTCGTTTGGTCAATTTGTCTGTCACTACGTTGAACTATTCCAGATTTTGAGCGTTTCTCATCACAATGTGTCGGTTGTCCGTCATTGTCATTAACTTTTACAAAAATGTTCTTCTCTGAAATTGCTGTTCCAAATTTAAGCAAACTTGGCCACAATCATCATTAGGGTATCTAGTTTAAAAAAGGTGTCCGATGACCCTGCCTGCCAACCAAGATGGCCAACATAGCTAAAAATAGAACATAGGGGTAAAATGCAAGTTTGGTCTATTATCTTGAAAACCTCTATAGATAGAGAAAATCTGACAGGGCTAAAATGTTTGGAATGATGAGATCTACCTATTGTCTATTTACTTCCAAACTGTTAGACTACTTTTTGTAGGAGTTATTGCCCTTAAATGACGAATTTTACCAACTTTTTTAATTTTTGCCTATTATCTTGAAAATAATAATAGAAAGAGATAGAGAGAAACTTTATATAGCAAAAATGATCAGCAAGATAAGTTCTACAAATAAATCAACATGGTTGACATCGTTTGATGACCCCTTATTGGAGTTATTGTCCTTTAACGTCAATTTTTACTAATTTTTTGCATTTTTCCCTAATTTATGAAAATAGAATAATAGATAGATAGAAACTTAAAAAGGCAAAAATTATCAGCAAGACAAGATCTACAAATAAGTTGAATAGTTGAAATAGTCTGATGACCACTTTTTGGAGTTATAGCCCATTAATGATTGTTCTGACCAATTTTTGCGTCTCTGCCTTATATATGAAAAACTATAATAGATAGATAGAAACTTAAATAAGCAAAAATGATCAGCAAGATAAGATCTACATATAAGTCTTTATGGTTTAAATCATCTGATGACCCCTTATTGGAGTTCTCTTTAATAAAGATTTTTATCATTTTAAGCCCACATGGTCATCTGGTCGTCCATCTTTTTGCCCTGAAATTTTCAGAGGAATCAGACAACCCGTTGTTGGGTTGCTGCCCCTGAATTGGTTATTTTAAGGAAATTTTGCAGTTTTTATACTACCGTAAACAAATTTTGTGGTCGTATATTGGTATGACGTTGGCGTCGTCTTCGTCGTCGTCCGAAGACACATTGGTTTTCGCACTCTAACTTTAGTTTAAGTGAATGGATCTCTATGAAATTTTACCATAAGGTTCAATACCACAAAAGGAAGGTTGGGATTGATTTTGGGGGTTATGGTACCAACAGTTAAGGAATAAGGGGCCAAAAAGGGGCCAAAAATAAGCATTTTTATACGACCGCAAAAAAATTTTTGTGGTCGTATATTGGTATCACGTTGGCGTCGTCGTCGTTGTCCGGCGTCGTCGTCGTCGTCGTCCGGCGTCGTCCGAAGACACATTGGTTTTCGCACTCTAACTTTAGTTTAAGTGAATGGATCTTTATGAAATTTTACCACAAGGTTCAATACCACAAAAGGAAGGTTGGGATTGATTTTGGGGGTTATGGTAATAACAGTAAAGGAATTAGGGGCCAAAAAGGGGCCAAAAATAAGCATTTTTGTAACTTCCAGACATAACTTGTGTGTTAGTGTATGGATCTCTCTGACATTGTACCACAAGGTTCCATATCACTAAAGGAATGCTGGGATTGATTTTGGGGGTAATTGCCTCCAAATTTTAGGAATTAGGGGCCAAAAAAGGGGCAAAAAACAAGCATTTTTCTAGTTTCATGACAATAACTTGTGTGTAAGTGTATGGATCTTTCTGAAATTGTACTACAAGGTTCCATATCACAAAGGGAAAGCTGGGTTTGAGTTTGGGGGTAATTGCCCTAAACGTTTAGGAATTTGGGGCCAAAAAGGGGCCAAAAAACACATTTTTTTCTAGTTTCCAGACAATAACTTGTGTTCAAGTGTATGGATCTCTCTGAAATTGTACTGCAAGGTACCATACCACAAAGGGAAGGCTAGGATTGAGTTTGGGGGTGATGAATCATAATGGGGGTTCAAAAAATTTTGGGGGGGGATTTATTTTTTTTTCCTTTTTTTTCTTTTTTTCCTTTTTTGTTTCTTTTAAAATTTTCCATTTTAAGTTGGTTATTTCTGATTTATATTTAAAATCAAATAATAATGATATGGTAGGAGATACACACCAAACAGGATGTGTAAATTATTATATAATAAGTATTGTGCAATAGCAAGAAATTTTCAATTGCACAGTATTGCACAATAGCAAGAAATCTTCAATTGCACAGTATTGCGCAATAGCAAGAAATCTTCAATTGCACAGTATTGCGCAATAGCAAGAAATATCCAATAGCACAATATTGCGCAATAGCAAGAAATTGTCAATTGTACAGTATTGCGCAATAGCAAGAAATATTTAATAGCACAGGATTGTGCAAAAGAAGATACTTCCTATAAATTGCTTATTTCTTGACCAATTTCAATGGGGTTTTATTCTTGATTTCATGGGGTTCTTTAATATGCTGAATCTAACCGTGTATTTAGTTTTTGGATTTTGGACCCCGTTTTTAAATTGGTCCACATTGAGGTCCAAAGGGTCCAAAATTAAACTTTGTTTGATTTCATCAAAAATTGAATTATTGGGGTTCATTGATATGCCGAATCTAACTGTGTATTTAGATTCTTAAATTTTGGTTCCGTTTTCAAATTGGTCTACATTAAGGTCCAAAGGGTCCAAAATTAAACTTAGTTTGATTTTAACAAAAATTGAATTCTTAGGGTTCTTTGATATGCTGAATCTAAACATGTATTTAGATTTTTGATTATGGGCCCAGTTTTCAAGTTGGTCCAAATCGGGGTCCAAAATTAAACTTTGTTTGATTTCAACAAAAATTGAATATATGGGGTTCTTTGATATGCTGAATCTAACCATGTATTTAGATTTTTGATTTTTGGGCCCCGTTATCAACTTTGTCCACATTGAGGTCAAAAGGGTCCAAAATTAAACTTCGTTTGATTTCATCAAAAATTGAATTATTGGGGTTCTTTGATATGCCGAATCTAACCGTGTATTTAGATTCTTAATTTTTGGTTCCGTTTTCAAATTGGTCTACATTAAGGTCCAAAGGGTCCAAAATTAAACTTAGTTTGATTTTAACAAAAATTGAATTCTTAGGGTTCTTTGATATGCTGAATCTAAACATGTATTTAGATTTTTGATTATGGGCCCAGTTTTCAAGTTGGTCCAAATCGGGGTCCAAAATTAAACTTTGTTTGATTTCAACAAAAATTGAATATATGGGGTTCTTTGATATGCTGAATCTAACCATGTATTTAGATTTTTGATTTTTGGGCCCCGTTATCAACTTTGTCCACATTGAGGTCAAAAGGGTCCAAAATTAAACTTCGTTTGATTTCATCAAAAATTGAATTATTGGGGTTCTTTGATATGCCGAATCTAACCGTGTATTTAGATTCTTAATTTTTGGTTCCGTTTTCAAATTGGTCTACATTAAGGTCCAAAGGGTCCAAAATTAAACTTAGTTTGATTTTAACAAAAATTGAATTCTTAGGGTTCTTTGATATGCTGAATCTAAACATGTATTTAGATTTTTGATTATGGGCCCAGTTTTCAAGTTGGTCCAAATCGGGGTCCAAAATTAAACTTTGTTTGATTTCAACAAAAATTGAATATATGGGGTTCTTTGATATGCTGAATCTAACCATGTATTTAGATTTTTGATTTTTGGGCCCCGTTATCAACTTTGTCCACATTGAGGTCAAAAGGGTCAAAAATTAAACTTTGTTTGATTTCATCAAAAATTGAATTCTTGGGGTTCTTTGATATGCTGAATCTAACCATGTATTTAGATTTTGGATATTGGACCATAATAGGTGAATGTCCAATTTAAAATTTTTAAGTTCTTAGACCACATTCAATCTGTGTTAGAAACCTATGCTGTGTCAAATATTTAATCACAATCCAAATCCAAAGCTGTATCAAGCTTGAATGTTGTGTCCATACTTCCCCCAACTGTTCAGGGTTCGACCTCTGCGGTCGTATCAAGCTGCGCCCTGCGGAGCATTTTATTGTAACTTCCAGACATAACTTGTGTGTTAGTGTATGGATCTCTCTGACATTGTACCACAAGGTTCCATATCACAAAGGGAATGCTGGGATTGATTTGGGGGTAATTGCCTCAAAATTTTAGGAATGAGGGGCCAAAAAAGGGGCAAAAAACAAGTATTTTTCTAGTTTCATGATAATAACTTGTGTGTAAGTGTATGGATCTTTATGAAATTGTACTACAAGGTTCCATATCTTAAAGGGAAAGCTGGAATTGAGTTTGGGGGTAATTGCCCAAAACGTTTAGGAATAAGGGGCCAAAAAGGGGCCTAAAAACAAGCATTTTTAGCTCACCTGGCCTGTAGGGCTAAGTGAGCTTTTCTCATCACTTGGCGTCCGTCGTCGTCGTCCTCGTCGTTAGCTTTTTACAAAAATCTTCTCCTCTGAAACCATTGGGCCAAATTTAACCAAACTTGGACACAATCATCATTAGGGTATCTAGTTTAAAAAATGTGTCCGATGACCCCGCCAACCAACCAAGAAGGCCGCCATGGCTAAAAATAGAACATAGGGATAAAATGTAGATTTTAGCTTATATCTCTGAAACCAAAGCATTTAGAGTAAATCTGACATTGGATAAAACTGATTATCAGGTCAAGATCTATCTGCCCTAAAATTTTCAGACAAATCTGACAACCTGTTGTTGGGTTGCTGCCCCTGAATTGGTAATTTTAAGGAAATTTTGCAGTTTTTGGTTATTATCTTGAATATTATTATAGATAGAGATAAACTGTAAACAGCAATAATGTTCAGCAAAGTAAGATCTACAAATAAGTTGTCATGACCAAAATTGTCAGTCGACCCCTTTAAGAGTTATTGCCTTCCAACCATCATGGCCGACTTGGTTAAAAATAGAACATAGGGGTAAAATGCAGTTTTTAGTTTATATCTCTGAAACTAAAGCATTTAGAGCAAATCTGACAGGTGGCAAAAATGTTCATCAGATTTAAATTTATCTGCCCTGAAATTTTCAGACGAATCCGACAACCTGTTGTTGGGTTGCTGACCCTGATTTAGTAATTTTACAAAAATTTTGCAGTTTTTTGTTATTATCTTAGATATCATTATAATATCTAATATCTAATACTATTAATTATGATTTTAACCTTATTTTACATGATTTCGAAAGCATCAGTAAATACAGGTGAGCGACACAGGCTCTTGAGAGCCTCTAGTTCTAGTTTCCAGACAATAACTTGTGTTCAAGTGTATGGATCTCTCTGAAATTGTACTGCAAGGTACCATACCACAAAGGGAAGGCTGGGATTGAGTTTGGGGGGTGATGAATCATAAGGGGGTTCAAAAAATTCGGGGGAGGGATTTTTTTTTTCTTTAAAATTTTCCATTTTTGGTTATTATCTTGAATATTATTATAGATAGAAATAAACTGTAAACAGCAATAATGTTCTGCAAAGTAAGATCTACAAATAAGTCAAACATGGCCAAAATTGTCAAGTGACCTCTTAAGGAGTTATTGCCCGTTATAGTCAATTTTTAACAATTTTTTTGTAAATTTTTGTAATCTTTTACAAAAATCTTCTGCTCTGAAACTACTGAGACAAATTTAACCAAACTTGGTCACAATCATCATTAGGAGATCTAGTTTAAAAAATGTGTCGTATGACCTCGCCTACCAACCAACATGGCCGACATGGCTGAAAATAGAACAGGGGTAAAATGCAGTTTTTTGCTTATATCTCTGACACTAAAGCATTTACAGCAAATCTGACATTTGGTAATAAACAGCTGCGCCATGAGCGCATAATACGCCCGTCGTCTTGTGTGTGAATTTTTATGCAATAAGTATAAATAGTTTCTAACATACGGCGTGACATGCGAAAAACCCCTTTTTTTTTTTACAAAAAACTCAATATCTCTAAAATAAAATTTTGAATCAAAACCAAAAAGTATACAGATCTTTAGATTAATATAACTAAGAAGTGTGTAAAATTTTAAGCAATAATCATAAATCGTTTTTGAGATATGGCGCGTCATGTGAAAAACCCCTCCCCCTTTTTTTTACAAAATACTCAATAACTCAAAAATAAAATTTTGAATCATCACCAAAAAGTATACAGATCTTAAGGTTAATATAACTAAGAAGTGTGTAAAGTTTTAAGCAATAATCATAAACTGTTTTTGAGATACGGCGCGACATGTGAAAAACCCCTCCCCCTTTTTTAACAAAATACTCAATATCTCTAAAATAAAATTTTGAATCATCACCAAAAAGTATACATATCTTAAGATTAATATAACTGAGAAGTGTGTAAAGTTTTAAGCAATAATCATAAATTGTTTTTGAGATACGGCGTGACATGTGAAAAAAACACACACCTGTTTTAGTTACTAAGTCCCGTAACTCAAAAAGTTTTAATCTTATTTTCACCAAAAAGTATACAGATCGTTTGACCATCATAAGAAACAACTATGTTAAGTTTCATGAAATTTGGATAAGTCATTCTCAAGTTACGGTGCGACATGTTTACGCCGGACAGACAGACGGACAGACGGACAGACAGACGGACAGACAGTCGGACAGACGGACGGACACCGGACATTTGTATACCATAATACGTCCCGTCAAAAATTGACGGGCGTATAAAAATGTTCATCAGGTTTAGATCTATCTGCCCTGAAATTTTTAGACGAATTAGACAACCCGTTGTTGGGTTGCTGCCCCTGAATTGGTCATTTTAAGGAAATTTTGTAGTTTTTATACACCAGTTTACTTGACGTATTATGGTATACCATTGTCCGTCCGTCGTCAACATGTTGGACATTAACTCAAAAATGCTTCAACCAATTTGCATAAAACTTTGGTGAATTGTTCATATCTATTGACGTGAGCTCCCTTTTTTTTATAAATTTTAGATTTTACGTTTCTGAGTTATGGGGTTTTATTCATTAAAAAAAGGGGGATTTTACAGTTTTCGGACAATAACTCAAAAATGCATTCACCAATTTGCAAGAAACTTTGGTCAATTGTTTATATCTATTGACATGAGCTCCCTTTTAATTTTTATAAATTTTAGATTTTATGTTTCTGAGTTATGGAGTTTTATTCATTAAAAAAAAAGAGGGATTTTCCAGTTTTCGGACAATAACTCAAAAATGCTTTCAGCAGTTCTCATGAAACTTTGGAGAATTGTTTATATCTATTGATGTAAGCTCCCTTTCAATTTTTATAAATTTTAGATTTTACACTTCCGAGTTATGGGATTTTATTCATAAAAAAGGGGTGATTTTCCAGTTTTTGGACAATACCTTTATAGTGCTTTGAGCAGTTTTCATTAAACTTTGGTGACTGGTTTATATCAATTAAGATAACCTCCTTTTAGTTTTTCACAAATTTCTGATATGACATAGAGAAGTTATTGAACTTTATTCTTAAAAAATGTGACGGACGTATCATACGCTCATGGTGCAGCTGATTTTTGGTTATTATCTTTAAATATTATTATAGATAGAGATAAACTGTAAACAGCAATAATGTTCAGCAAAGTAAGATCTACAAATAAGTCATGACCAAAACTGTCAATTGACCCCTTAAGGAGTTATTGCCCTTTATAGTCAATTTTTCGTAAATTTTTGTAATCTTTTACAAACATCTTCTCAACTTACCGGTAATCTACTTGGCCAAATATAATTAAACTTAGCCACAATTTTTGATAGGGTATCTTGATTGAAAAATGTATCCGATGACCCTGTCATCCAACCAACATGGCCACCATGGCTAAAATAGAACATAGGGGTGTACTATAGAAGTCTAAGGGAAAATTGTAAAAAAAACAATTTCAAATGGTCACAACTTGAAAACTAATTTAAATAATGATAAGGGGTCTTCAGTAAGACTAAAATAGGATGACCTGCTTTTAATTTAACAACTGGGCCAAGTTAAACCAAACTTGGCCTCAATCATTATTAGGGTATCTTATACTATTTATTATGATTTTAACCTTATTTTACATGATTTCCAAAAACACAGTAGATACAGGTGAGCATCACAGGCTCTTGAGAGCCTCTAGTTTTGCTTGTTGCCTACTATCTCAAAAACTGTATTGGATAGATAGAAACTTAAATAAGCAAAAATGATCAGCAAGACAAGATCTGCAAATAAGTCAACATGGTTTAAATTGTCTGAAGACCCCTTCTTTAAGTTGTTCTCTTGAATAACAATTTTTATATGACCACAAAAAGGTCGTATATTGCTATCACGTCAGTGTCGGCGTCCGAAGACATTTGGTTTCCGGACAATAACTTTAGTTTAAGTGTATGGATCTCAATGAAAATTAAACTAACGGTTCAATACCACAAAGAGAAGGTTGGGATTGTTTTTGGGGGTGATGGTCCCAACCAGTTAGGAATAAAGGGCCAAAAAGGGGCCCAAAACAAGCATTTTTTCTAGTTTCAGGACAATAACTTGTGTATAAGTATTTTGATTGCCCTGAAATTGTACCACAAGGTTCAATACCACAAGTAGAAGGTTGGGATTCATTTTGGGGGTAATTGCCCAAACCGTTCAGGAATTAGGGTAAAAAAGGGTCTAAAACAAGCATTTTTCTAAGTTTTCAGACAATAACTTGTGTTTAAGTGTATCGATGTATCTTAAATTGTACCACATTTTACGAAAAGAAAATTTCTTCAGATATCATTTTTTTTGGAAAAGGGGGGGGGGGGGTACGGTGGAGAGGGAGTTGGGTAAAAACAATTTTTTTTTGCGGGGGTGCAACTTTTTCCCCTCAAGATTTAAGAAATTGTCAATTTTCCAAAGTCGAATTGGGGGTCACAATTTATTTTGCTAATATAGTCTGTAACTAGTCTGAAACAGATTTACTCATTATTGCACAACTGCACAGTGTATTGCACAACAGCAAGAAATCTTCAATTGAATATAAATTCAAATCATATAACCAATTTCAAGTTCTTTGACTACATTTAGAAACCTATAATGTGTCAAATATTTAATTACAATCCAAATTCAGACCTGTATCAAGCTTGAATATTGTGTCCATTTTTGCCCCAACTGTTCAGGGTTGGACCTCTGCACTCGTATCCAGCTGCGCTCGGCAAAGCAGTTTATTATCATTTTTTGTGTTGTTGCCTACCATCTGAAAAATTATATTAGATAGATAGAAACTTAAATAAGCAACAATGATCAGCAAGACTAGATCAACAGAGAAGAG